CCACCGTTCTCTTTCGCTCTTAGGGCACTACTAACACGATCTTCATAGTTCCCTGCAGAGTTTCGACACTTCATCCATGGCAGTGACGCAGAAAGAAGAATCACGGGAACAGACCTTGAAAAACTTATGAGTTCAACTCCTGTTGACACAGGGGGCTCACGCCGACTGCGACTCTTCATGCCCGCCGACGGACCAAACATCAACCTCTGCAAGACAGTCATGTCGGCCGTGGCGCTAGGCTACCCCATGCCCACGCTTTTGAACTGGAACGGAGAGTTCAACAGGCCTGACTGGCACTTTGCCGGTTCCCACATTGCGAAACTGGAGTCACTGTTGGCGGTCATCGATGCGCTTTACGAGAAGAATGACGGGGACAATGTGAATGAGAACGATCTCGTTCTCCTCGTAGACGCCTATGACATCTGGTTTCAGCTTCCGTCATCCGTCTTAATTGAGCGCTTCCACCAGCTGAATCGCAAAGCCAACATTCGGGTGCAGAGACAATGGGAGGAAAGTGGCCTGAAGAGCGGGTTCCCTATTAGCCCCCCGACGCAGAACATCATCGTCACCGCAGCCAAAGATTGCCAGCCGGACTGGGAGTCAGGGTCCGATCCGCGATACGACTACTGGCTAGACTCACCCCTGCCACGAGACTTCTACGGCGACAAGACTGACCAGGTTCTACCTTATGTCTTTGACTCGGCTAGGAAATACAAAAAGATTCGCCCCCGCTGCGTCAACAGCGGGATGATCATGGGCACTATCGGATCTTTACGGGGCGCGCTGCGCAAGAGCAAGGAAAAGATTGAAAAAGCCGCGGGTAGCGGGCGGCAGCTCTGGAGCGACCAGGCTCTTATCGCAGAGGTTATTGGGGACCAGGAAGTTTATCGCCACTGGGTTCGTGGCCTCTCTTCAACGTGGAATGGTTTCGTTTCTGAAGAGCATCTCGGGAGCATGCCGAAAGAGGTGCGGAGAATTGCAGACGCGGCGCTGGCTGGCGAAAAGTTTGAGTTTGGGATCGGGCTGGATTATGAGTTTGCCACGATTCCGCCTACCTGCTCCTCCGAAGACGACGGGTACTTTGTGGAGCTTGACGACGCCGAGGCCATCAAGAAGGAGTCTGAAAAGGCTGGGGTCCCGGGCGAGGTGAGGGTACAGAGCATTCCGGAGGAATTGCGAGACGTCCCTCGGCCTCTGCCGGGGCACAGCTGGGGCAACGTCTCGCTCTATACCGACTTCTTCTTTGGTACCGCGTCCGTGGGCATACATCATAACGCCTACATCTTTGGGCTGAAGAAGTGGCGGCTGGAGAACTGGTGGAGTCTAACGTGGTTTTATCCTCACTTGCGGGATCTCGTGGTCCAGGCTCTTGATGCGAATCGAAAGTTGGTGCCCTTAGCGAGACTTCTCACTCGTGGCGACAGCGGGAACGAGGTGGTCTACTGGGCGGCGGAGGAAGAGCTTAATGGGAAGAAGAGCGTGAGGGTGTATGACGGTTCGAAAAAGCCGGGGAACTTTTCATTTATTGGTTGGGATGAAATATGCCAAAATGGAGATGAACAGTGGTATAATGTACTGTTTGGAGATGGAAAGGGGCAGCTGGAGGTGTGAGATATGTACTTGTCAGAGACGCGCGATGAATACAGATTTGGCGATGGCGGGGTAAAGGCCTCTCTTTCCCACGGCCTGTCTTTGGGTCAACGGTTCATAGGCCCACGCTTTCCCCCAGTTATTTTAACATCTCATTGTCGACTTCGCGGTAAACCTTTCGACAAGTAGCTCCTTGATTATGTGGAAAATCCGGAGTTCATCATCATGTCAGTCCATCATAGCAAACGCATGCTCCTTTTCAACTGACTGTATGCTGGAACATAAGCCCATATGACCGCAGTCAATATCATCCCATCCGACGCCTAGGGATGTCCTATCGTATTGGAATGCCTTGCATTGGGCTGAGCGAACTTAGATCGCATCGATGGTGAGGGTCTCCGCGAGAAGACCTCGGCAGCTTCCCCTATTGAGTCTTGGCAACCACGGAGGCTATACTCTATATTTCTATACAAGGTCGTATCTCTATGGTTTAACTAATCTAGACAAGCTATAGGATGGCCATGAACTGCCACTACAAACGGCCGGAGTATCCGCCTGCAGAGTCATCACAAGGGACGACAGTATCGTGCTTATCCCAATTAATTCGATCAAGGTAGGTCAAGAGTACTTCAAAGTCGCAATAATTCACTCGCTCACTGCGTGTGTTTCCGAGCGAGAACGAAGTCTAGAGGCATTGACATTTTTCATCGTGCCAAGCTGGAAGGTCCCGAATATGCTCCAGCCCATTGACGGTGATCTCCAACGCATGAGGCTGTGTCGATGGACATAGGAGGTCGACTTAGAGCCTCGTTTTCGCATCACAAGGCGTATAGACAATGCTCGGGACAACCGGTAATGAGTGCCAATCCATCTTCAATACACAATGACGGAGACAGCCTGTGATCATCCAATGAGAACCGTATGCGACGTAGAGCGATCGATGGAATAACGAAGAGAGAGAACCGGGGAGATGATCCAGTCTCGGGGACGCTGTATACCTGAATTGGGCATGGTATCGTATTTGAAGCTGTCTCATTGGCTAGTCCGTGGGTTCTTGGCTATGAACAAGCCCCCGTAATGCGACTATACGTGTGGGGATACACGGATCCGAAGATCTTAGGGAGAGGCGGCGCAATAGCCCTGTACCTGGATGCTTGCTTGGTGGCAATGCTGCAGCCCATGGTAGATCATACAGTCGTGATGAGGCTCGATATGGTTGTTGATTTGTATAAGTTGACTACATCTCTCTTCAGATGAGATGCCTCTCTTCTCAACAGTCAAGGACAACGTTCATTCACTCAAGCTTCATCCTCGCCCTGTTTCTCCTAATTACAATCCACTCTCTTTTCTACTCACAAACTCGAAAGCCTGAGCATCGCTAGTCTCAGGATGAAGCAAGTCAACTTCTTCACCACGGCCATGGTAGCCTGTATGGCCAAGCTCGTCGTACGCCCCCCCCCCTCTAACCCTCTACAACTTCAAGTCTTCTCACCTACTGGAATATCTAGGCCTCGGCGGACATCGTCGCAGACTCCCAAAACGTGACGGCCCCAGACTTCATCGGAAAAGCAGCCACGTCTCAACCCCTCCGCCCCAAGGAACGCTTCTCCCCAGACGCCCTCCATGCCCACATTGACGGCGGCAACACCCGAAGCGACGACTACATGGGCCCCCTCGGCATCTCCTCCGTCGCCTCCTCGGCCGCCGTGCAGACGGGCTACATGTTCTGGGAGAACAGCACGAGCCTCCTCGTCGCACTGGAGTGCGTCTCCTCCCAGGCGCCCATCGGATTCTGCCTCGCGGCGCTGGACCCGGAGACCATGGACGTTCTCGTCCAATGGACCGCGCCGGCGGGACGTACTGCCGTCTCGAATTACTGGCAAGTCGTCGACAACCACGTCGTTATGCCCACCCTCGAAGGCTTCATCATGGAGATCCAGCGCCTCGGCACCGGCACCTCCACGACTTTCACCCAGATCCGCGAGGTCGACGTCTCGTCCCGTCTCCCTCCGGGCTCCATCATTGCCATGGCCGGGTACACGGACGACGAGAACCTCTGGTTCGTCGCCACGCCGGCGCCCCTCGTCGGCCTTGAGGGAAGCAACACCACCACCATAGGCTACGTCCAGCCCGACGGCACCATCTTCAGCACTGCCCTGGACAACCAAATCGTCGAGAACGGCATGGCCGTCAACGGGAAAAACATCTACGTCCTCACGGGTCCCGCCGGCCCCGAAGACCACGCCGACGCCCGGGGCCACTTTTATGCTTTCCAAGCGGATACGGCCAACGGTGGCGGCGTGGTAGCGGCCTGGAACGAGACGTACCTCGCCGGCAGCGGTATCAAGCCAGGCGGCCTCTCCCGCGGCTCCGGCGCGACACCAAGCCTCCTCGGACAAAAATACGTCGCCATGACGGACAACGCCGACTCGCAGATCAACCTCAACGTCTATCGCCAGGCGTCCGCCATGGCCGAAGGCCAAACCTCGAGCTTCGTCTGCTCCGTCCCGCTCTTCACGCCCGGCGCGAGCCTCAACGAGGCCTCGCTGACGTCGCACTTTGACGGGACGACGTACAGCGCCATGATCCCCAACTGCTACAACTCGCCTTCCTTCCTAGACGTCAGCGAAGATGACGTCAACGGCAGCTACAATAACCTCACGCAGGTGACTCCCGGCGTGGCGCGCGTGCGGGTCAATGCCGACGAGAGCTGCGAGCTGGTATGGGATTTGCCTATCGTGGCGACCATGATCACGCTGTCGACGAGTAACGGTATCTTGTACGCGTACACGCAGGACCGGGAGCTCGCTGTGGGCGGGGAGTATGTGTGGTACATTGCGGCGTTTGATTATGCTTCTGGACAGGAGATTTGGCGCAAGAGGGTTGGTGCTGGTGGTGTGTTTAACCCCGGCCCGTCGCATCTGCAGCTCGGTGCGAATGGAAGGATTTATGAGGGTATCGTTGGTGGTGTTGCGTGGGTTGAGGATTCTCCTTCTCCTTAGATGGGGTTTTCTCATTGCCGGTGTTTCTGGTGAGAGAAGCTGCTTGGCATCGTCAGTTGGTGAACGGCGGTAATATCGGGATGGGGCAGAGCTATATGAATGGATATAAGTTTGCTAGATTCCACGCATATGAGACTTAGATCACTTACTGTCCCATTAATCTAATTCCTTCACCACTACTTTCTGCTTCTGAGAACGATTAGAAATCTCTAAAGGGACGTCGTGAGGTTATACTTACATGAGTCTAGCCAAGATTGGCATCAGCCTCGTGATAATCCTGTGTGAGTATAGGTCTAAGTAGAGCGTTCAACCATCCTCGCGTTATACAAAAAGCAGAAATGATACCACTTCCTCCCATCATCCTAAACATACACTCGCTTTAAAGGACAAGAACCCTATGCTAACCTCTCAACTCTCAACCCACTCAAACTCCTCAACAGCCAACGTCATCTTCGGCCACCACTCCCTCGGCAAGAACCTCATCACCCCATCAAACTCCCTCTCCGCCGCACCCTGCGCCCACCACAAATGCGTCGCCCTCCTCAACAGCATAAAGAAGTACCCGACGATAGCCAACGTCCTCGGGTCCTGCGCCTCCAACAACTCGACGAACCGCGGCGGGACGTGCGCAGGGAACCGCAGCAGATCACGCTGCAGAGCCGAACTCTGGATCTTATCGAGACGGTCGACAGCAATACGATACGCTTCCAACGTCTCCGGCTCTGTCTTTTCTTCATCGAGGTCTTCTAGCAGGAAGTCAAACGCCCCCGGCTTTGCTGGCCTCGGCGTCTCGTTTTGCTGTGATGAGGTCTGCCGCTCTGGTTTATAGAGGTGGCCTATCCTACTATTCCGGATCCCGGGCAAAGCGACCTTTAATAGCGCGTTGACGTTCCGAAAGGGCGTGAACCAGTGATGCGGGACCCGCGACCCCGCCCCCGTCCCATCTCCCGCATCCGATCCGCTACCGTTGCTATCGAGAAACGACTGGTTCGCGCTGGTGTGGAACATGATGATAGTACACGTCGCCATCACGACGGGAGCATTCTGCGCGTTGATCCCCTCGCGCACAATTTGTCTCGAATGCGCCTCGATAGCCCTCGCCATGTAAGCATGCGAGGCCTCCGACACTGCTGCTGCATAAGTACTACTGCTGCTGCTGTCATCCACCCTCGCCGCGGACCGTCGGAGGTGAAACGCCGCAAACCCGAGAACAGCGTCCATAAGAGTATGATCTGTCACGGCGAGGTCTGTAATCCAGCTCGACCAACTTTGCTGGTCAGTCGAGGGGTACGAGGCCGTCATGGCCAGGTAGTGCCGGAAGAAGCGCGATTTCATGCCGTCGGTCATGGTGTCTACTAATACTGGAGGACTACTCGGCCGTACGAGAGTCAGGGATGTTAATGATAATGCTGTGGATGAGGACGACGATGCAGACGATGCAGACGATGCAGACGATATTAATGATGATGATGATGATGATGACGACGATGATAATATGAAGGGTGGCGCCGGCGGACAAGAAGTGGGTTTCAGACTGAAGCGGGATTGTAAATCGATGAAATCACACCGCAGGTTCGCCTTTGTGCAACCCCCACAGGCGGGCCGGACCTCATCGCACTTTTGTGTATGGTCAGTACTTGTACTTGCGTATAAGATAGGTAGACATGTAAGAAGGTATGCAGTAAGGTATCAAGTGAGAAACCCGTGCGACCCCCTGCACCCGGGACGGGGTTGGTCGTAGGTCGGGACACGGTGATCGTAAGGTCGGGCCGCCTCGTTCAGAGCTCACCTTGATTCGCCGCGTCTTGCAGCGCCTGCAGCCGAGTCTCGACTTGTGATGGGCTCGTCTGATTCTCTCCGTCATTACAACCGGGTAAGATGTGTAGTGGATCTTACTTCGGGTGTTTGCAGCAAGTATCGGGCCTAGAATCCTTCTGGAAGTTACAAGATACACCAAACGCAAGGGCAAGCAAGCAAGAAAAAAGAATGTGGCCACTGAGATGTGCCAGTGAGGGAGGAGAGTCTGTGGGAAGATGGGAGAGCAGAAGGGGGGTCGTCACTCAGATGCCGGAACGCTGCGTCGATGCTTTGACCCGGTTCCGGCCAATGAGAGGCGCCGGAATACGGTCTTGGATAGATCTTGGGTCTAGTAGCGACATCCCATCTCAATCAAACTCTATCCCTACCGCCGATCTACACCTACGTACCTGACTTTACGTATAGGCAAATGACTTTCATGTCAGGCTTTGCTGTGGCTTGGTGATCATAAGTAAGCCAGACATGTCCATTATTCGCCTTGAGGCTGGTCTCTCACTTGCTCATTTTTACGTACTGCAGTGCGTGTACCAGAAGCTGTGAGATCATCCAACATACCTATGAAGAAACTCATCAGCTTTTTGCCGTACGCAAGTGGCTGTCTCACTGAACATATCTGATATATCACATCACGTCTTACGAGGCTCAAGTTCCTTCATATCGTTCCCATTAAAGTAGGCCGTGTGTCGTCCTGTTCTCGATTTATGCCTATAGGAAGTCGCCTGCACATCAAAACGTAAAGAAAAGTGAAGGGGTGGTTCCGCGAATCAGCCACCAATCCGTTGTGTATATATCGTCCAATGACGGAGCCAGTCCGCGGACATCAACCCGAGGTATCTTGTTTTCCTGCCATTTCTCCCGTCATCCAATTCTTCGTCCCCAAGCTCACATTCTTCTCATAGAGCCATATGCTGTCAGACACAATGCGATCCGACAAAGAACCTGATCGCTTTGCTTCACGACCGCCTCGCATGTTGGCAAACAGACCTTTAAGAGTCTCTTTGCGCAGACAGTTGAGCCCCGAAGGAGCGTGAGATCCACCAAGAAAATTCATTGCTGCTGTAAGGAGACTCATGTCTGCATCATGCTTTTCGTTGTGGGGTGCCGTGACCTTCACACATGGTGCCGCATTACGACGAGGCTATCGCCGCAATGCTGGACCACTCCACAATCCTTTGCTCGTCTCCACGACCTTGTTCTGCTCACTGCCTGGCCGCAAACTTGCTGGGACACTGCTGGGTGCTGGACCTGCATCGGACATGACCACATCATTCTGGCTGCTATCGGCTTCGGGTTGCGTTCCATAGCCTGAGTCCTTGTGGGCCCCGTTGCCGAGGCTGATGGCGCTATCGTCCTTCCTTGCGTTTTGCTGGGTCTTGAGTGCGGCAGCGCCACGTCCAGGCTCTTTCGACTTGGCCCCGTCCATCAGATTGCTCTGGCCCTCGCGAAGCTTGTTGATGGCACGAACTGTATCAATTGCAGCATGCAGCGTCCTACGAGCATTGAAGTTCTTCTTGACAGTGGGCAGCAAGTTCTGGCCTTCGCCCTCGCCGTTGTTGAGGTAGCCGGCAACGAAGGGGTGTTGCAGGGCTTCGTGCGCCGTCATGCGCTTGTTCGGGTCAATAGTGAGGCAGCGACGGATGAAATCCTTGGCGTGATCGGAAACACCCCGCCAGTAGTCGAAGGGGGTGAAGCTGTAGTCGGCGTTCAAGATAGCTTGCATCTCCTCGAAATCGCTATCGCGGTCGAATGGCGTGTAACCGCACAGAAGGAAGTAGGTGATGACACCGAGCGCCCATACATCTACAGGCTTGCCGTGACCAATCTTCTTGAAGATCTCAGGGGCCATGTAGCCAGGGGTACCGCATGTCGTGGTCAGCACGTGGAACTGCTCCTCATCCATAATGCGGCTCAGTCCGAAATCGGCAATCAGGAGGTCTGCATTGTCTTCTGGTGTACGGAACAGGAGGTTCTCGGGCTTCAGATCGCGGTGGACGATGCCATGGTCGTGCAGATAAGCAACGGCGGAGAGCGTCGCCCGAATAAGATCTGCGGCATCGGATTCGTAGTATGAGCCTTTGCGGCAGATGCGGTCGAAGAGCTCGCCGCCGAGAGCCAGGTCGGTCACGAGGTAGAGGTTGTTCATCGTCTCAAAGTAGTCGACAAGTGTAAGGATGTTCTGGTGGCCCATGGAGACCTTCTTTAGGACTGCGATTTCATTGCGGACCTGTAAGAGGGGTTGTGTCAGTTTCTTGGTCAAGGATGCAGAAGAAGGCAGTCGAAGGCGTACCATGTGCTCTCGGCCGGCCATCAATCGCTTGTTGATGACTTTTGCGGCATAGTAGCGACCGGTGTCAATGTGAACGCACTCCTTGACGACGGAGTAGGAACCAGCACCAAGCGTCTTGCCGACCTTGTACCTGCAGGGCTGGACCTGAGGTGACGGAGATGCTCCGTTGGCGCCGTTGGAAGCCATTGCTGCGGCCAACAGACAATGTGATGAGGGTGCTGGAGGGGGGAAAGAATCGAGGCCACGAGCGTCGCCCAACGATCGAAGAGGGCCAGGCGATAGCTCGGGAGATAAAGGTCGGTTGGGGTTGCGGTCGCGAGATCAAAGATGTTGGCGGGGTAAGCAGATGGCGAAGATCGGTCAGCGGTTTTTTGGGGGCGGTTAGCCTCACTCGACGAAGCTAGCACCAAAATTACGGGCTGGTTCGACAATGGTAGGGCGAATGAGACAAGCAGCAAAATTGTCTTGATAAAGAATTTGTCTCCGTATCCAAGTCGCAGGAAGAGAGAATTCGAGGCTCGAGGTGGAAGTCTGAGAACAATCTGGCCAAGATTGCTCAAAGGAGCGAGCAGCTGACAAAGTGGGCACGGCAGGTGTTTGGCTGGATTATTGGGCTGATTTGATGATCGACGGTCCCTGGTCGTGTTGACTGCCCCTTGGGAGGGTCTCGCGGGGCCAGTGTGAATTGGATGCAAGGATCAAATCGGCACACAGCAGATAAATGAAGGGGGTAATGTGCTGTCACTATGACGCTATGACGCAGATCAAAGTTGACGGGCGTCGAGCACGCGATGTTTGGTGGAAAGAAGAGATGGTGTTGGGTGAATTCGGAAACCAAAAAACGACGATGGGAGGAAGTGGGAGTGAAGAGAAAGAGAAGGATTCGAGGTTGCGGAGATACATAGACTGGATGGGAATGGAAGAGACGAACAAGTGGACCACACGCCGCTACACCAAAGATAGTGGACATGTATAGGCATTAGGGGCACTTTAGCATCTAAGCACCATATGCGCCAGGTCGTTCAGCTCGAGACATCAGGGACCCTCATTCTTTATTGAACATGGATGGTCCCGCAACTTGGAGACAGCTCACTGACAATATTCCCAGCACAGGAGCTCCGGCTCTTGTTCTGACCACTGATCGTCTGAGGATCGCTCTCGCTTTGTCGAGGAACCCCCCCTTGGACCCCTTCATACGTGTATTTCTTTCCACGACAATTTACTAGGTATTGTTAATAATGAAGCGACCCATTCAGGATGGGGGTGCTGGATGGATGCTGACGGCCTGACGAGGCGGCCCGGGCCCAGCCATGAGAACTGGGGTCCCCACCCCAGCTGACAACTGCTCGGTGGGTGCGTTCTAGCTTCTATTTGGTACATACTCAAAACGGCCCCCAACCAGTCCGTCAGCTGCTCGTCTTCATATCGGATTTCCTCTCGATAGGTAATACCAGCCTTATTCAAGTCCTAAGACAAGATCATGGGAAAGCTCTGGTCTGAGGCTGACCTGCAAACGGTTCAGATGTCTGGCCGGAGCAGCCACCACCACTCTTTGATCTGCTTCTGAGCGAGTCTTGCATCTAATATTTACATCTCCGTATGAAAAACGTACACATATTCATACATCTACCCATGTCTAACACAGACGACGCAGGTTTCCTCTGCCGTCTTGAATAGCAAGCATTCCGTCCTTGGCACATGCTATTGAAATGCCGTTTTCTGAGTCAAAGTTCAGGGTCCAGGCCTGAACCCCTCTTGTTTGCCAGCCGGCCGTTCTTTGGTGCTTGGCCAGCTCTGGACCCTACCCCACACCAATATCTTCTCTCCTCCGTAGTTCGACCGGCTGGCGGCCTGGTGTTTGCATGTCTCGGTTCCGCCAACTTTGTTAGCTGGGCAGAAAAAGCAGCTGGGCGGGCTTGGTGCCACGACTCAGCAACACCTGCCAGGTCAGAATCCATCATCACCTTTTCTTGCCGGGCCGAAAATCAGGTGTCGGCACTTTGGACATTTCCTAACCTGCTCAGTCAAAAGAACGTCGATTCTGCTTCTTGGTGCTCATTTGTTTTTTCTGCCTCAGTCGTCCCTCGTTGAATGATTTTGCTCTACATGCCCTGTTAGCCCCTTCAGGTGCATTGGTGTATGAAAAGACAACTCACATCTCAGCATGTTTCTTCTTCTTGTCAGAACTTGTTTCGCCAGGGACTGTCTCTTGGTATATCCTCTGGATCTCGTCGACGAGCTTTTGCTGGTTTTCCTCCGAGTTGGCATCTCTCTGGCGGTGCGTTTGAGCTTGGAATGTCAGAGAATCAGATCTAGCTGTGTAGTATTTTGATGCCCTGATGCCTTGGTGTAGCAATTTAGGCAAGACTGGTAAGATGTCCTTGATAGGCCAAACCGTGACCGCTTTGCTCTCCGTTCTATCATGACATTAGCAAAAATGCAAGCCGGAGGTTAGAGATACCGGAATATCCAGTATATATGCGAGGAGCCTACTTGTTGACATGCTGACCACCCGGGCCACTGGATCGGGCATAAGTCGTTTGCCCCTTGGGGAGTTGGCTACCGGTGAAGGACTGGTGCCATGATCTTGCCTTTTCCAACTCTTCAGGATCAAAATCCGCCTCGAATGCTTGGAAGCGAGCCCAGCGGACAAGCTCCAGGGGTCGAATGAAAGGGCTTCCCAATATTGGACGGAAAGATTGATATAGACTTGTCGCAAACTTCATTGTGGCGGTTAAGTTGATCAAAGGAAGACGTCAAATTGATGGAGACTGAAGTTCAGACAAAAAGCCATCTGACTGGCGACAAGATGAGAAAATAGATTGGATTCCGGGTTGCAAGGTAGGTAATTCTTTGCAGAACTGACAAGTCTGCACCAGACAGTAGTCATCATCATTAATTGATAGACCAAGTTGGTGGATCTGGACTTTTCCTGAGTATTGATGTACCGTGTTTGAGAGATGCTAAACTGTGAGATAGACACGGTATCCGTATTTGGCTAAGCGCAATTGAGCTGCCAGATGAAGCTAGCGTCGGGCTGTGGGCTTCCAACCGTTTTTCCCACGGTGACATTGGTCAGGCCTCATTCCGTCCAGCGGGATCGGCCAGCCTTGCGGAGAACAGAGCTCTGGCAGCGGGTGGGATGGCACCTTGCCTACCTGAGGTTGTTTCCTTCCACCTGCAGTCCTTCACACTGCGATTTTTTCGACTTTTCCTCCCACGCGGCCCTCCAGGCTCCACCACGTCGTTCGTACCTGAGCTTTTTAACCTTTTTTCCCTTTCCACCGCACATACTTTCACGCGACACCGCCGCAGCAGCCACCAACCACATCTCGGTGCTCATGGCCTCAAGGTTCAACGTTCCTCCTGCATCCTCTCTCACCTCGCCTTTCTCCTACTGCTGAATCGACACCCTTCCGACCTCTCCAGCCCAGCACCAGAGGAAAATAAACTCCCGTCTCAGAGATTTCTGACTCCTCCGAGTTGCCTCTTCCATCTGCTGTCACAACGCACTCACTCACCCATTCATACCTTACTCGGTACTCATTCCGCCGCCCAACCCCATCGGAGATTCCCCCGTGCCTGCAGCCTCTTTGCTTTTGCGCCTGCTTCCTTCCTTCCATTCCCACCCCGCCTTCCTGCCACTCTGGGTATCTGCTCTTACCCTCTCATTTGGACCCCCAAACCAACCAACCAACCCAGCCGTGCTTGCCTTGCCTCGCGCTTGCCTTGGCCCCTAAGTACATGACGGCATTGCTGCGGCTCGACTGAATTTGCTAAAAACAAGGCGCCCGGTTGCCTCGTTCGTCGCTTCCACTCCATTGACATAAAGCCCATTCTTTAACCTGTCCGCCCACAAGCTTGCCTCGTCAACCTCACACAAGCTTCTTCTGCCCGTTTCGCGCAAGCCTTGCCATCTTCGACATCAGCAAGCTTCCACAGCTGTCGTCACATCGCCCACTCGCATCTTCAGGTCACTATCAACAACAATACTACTTATTACCGCCATCCAGTGCGCCAACAACTCCAATAGCTTGAATGCCCGAACCGGAGGCCACCCCCGAGTTCCAGGCTACTGCCGCCGACCTCTCGCCCTACTGTCCATCTCCCCTCCACTCCGCCGCTCCAGCCGTTGTACCTGCTCTCCAGGATACTGCTGATATCCTTGATGCAATGACCGCCCACACTAATGGAGTCGCTCAAGGCGACCTAGAAGCACCTGCACATGCACCAATTTCGACCGAGTCGTATGCGCAAGCTGCCGCGGACAACGCAGACGCCGAAGACGACGTCGACAGTCTGGACGATGCCTACGGCGAGGAAGAGGAGACACACACGGACAAGGTTCAGGAACAGCAGGTGGAGCCAGATGCCGGCGAGGATGATTATCTCAAGATCTTCGACTCTCCTCCTCGGGACGCGGATCAAGATGGCGCGGAAGAGGATGATGTATCAAAGGCACCAGAATCCATTCACAATTCCGCCGCTCCTGATTCTTTGACAAGCCCTTCGCAAGTGGCCCCCTCCACCGTCGCTGCCGCTGATTCCTCGTCGGCCACTGCTACTGCTGCAGAACACTCAGCCAAATCCGCGCCTTCCCAACCAGCTGCCGCCCACCAAGGAGCTGATTCAAGCGCGCCTCATTCGACTGCCAACGGCGCCTCCTTCAACGCACGCAATGACAATGCTCCCGAGGATGACCCCGCCGTTGATATCTCTCGCCTTGTTGCTGAGATGACAGGCCAGGCGAGCGAGTCCAGCAACAACCAATCTCCCACTGGCTCTACTCAGAACCATGATGCTCAGCCATCGTCCAACTTGACCTCGTCTGCGTCTGCCACTCTTCCTCCCAGACCTCCGTTGCCTCAACAGGCGGCTCCCACATATCCATCTGAAGACTATCGAGGCTTCCCTCCTCAGACCGCTGCTTCTCATGTCTCTTCCAACATGATTGCTCCGCCCACGTCAGGTCAACCATCTGCTTACGTAGCTACGGGTGCTCCCGGTGCCCCCAGTACCGCATCCGACGTCTATGGCAGCCTCCCACCTCCACCCGCCAACGGTTTGAACGCGGCCATGCCCATCACTTCAATGAACGCGCCTCCCTATCCCATCCCTGGCGGCTACCCGGCCGGCCCGACGGACGATACTGCTGACCGCCAGAAGCTTTGGGACACTTTCGTAAACGACGAGCGCCGTTACATGGCTGATGCCAAATGGGATAAATTCCCCGATGGCTCACGCATCTTCATTGGTTCGCGCTCTCTCTCATCAGGCAGACCCGACGGCGCCATTGACTTCTTTTCAGGCAACCTGTCGAGCGAACGCGTTTCCAAGCGGGATGTCTTTGATATCTTCCACAGATACGGCCGTCTCGCCCAGATCTCACTCAAGTCCGCCTATGGCTTCGTCCAATATCACAACCTCGAAGATGCCCAAGCTGCCATGGACAACCTGCAGGGCAGCGAAATCAAGGGTCGCAAGATTCGTAAGTAGTCTTTAACAACATGCACCGAGAGGGCCTTGCTCACTTTTACTAGATCTGGAAATCTCACGCGCCCAAAAGAAAAAGGACGGCAACGAGAGGAACCGCTCGCCAGACCGTGGCGGTCGTGGAGGCCGACAGTCAGGACGTCAAGATCGTCATGACGGAGCCAACTCACACCATGACAACCGTCGTAACCGCGATGATTACAGGCCGGGACGTAACAGCCCTCCCCGACGTGGCCATGGCCGTGAGGATAGTCACGGTCGGGATCGTTACCAGCAGGACTCTCATGACCACTCCCGCGGTCGTTCGCGGTCCCCGCAGGGATATGGCCGCCACAACGATGGATACCGCCGGCGTAGCCCCAGCCCGCCTGCGGCTTATGGTCGTCCTTCTGCAGCCGACGACCGCCTCGACATTCCTCGCCGCTACGGCAATCAGGTTCCTGACGTTCAATTCTTGCTCCTCCAGGATCTTAGCCGCGACTTCATAACCTGGGTTCAGCGCGGTTTCACCGATCGCGGCCTGAAGGTTGACGTCATGTTCCTCCACCCAAGTTTCCCTCGTGAGGCTATTGTCCAACGCCAAGTCATCGAAGGCGTACACGCCATTGTCGATCTCGACATACAGGCACAGAACATGGGTAAGATCCCGCTCCGAGTCTTTGACCGCTCCGGAGGCGTCAGTGCCCGATACGACGATTACCGAGACATCGATCCGCCGATCGCGGCAGAGCTCGTCCTCCGGGCCAAGTCACAAGCTGTGCCGGCGGCACCTTATCAGAGTGCCCCGCCTCCCCAGCCTCAGTACCCGGGCTACGGACAGCCTTATGGAGGGCAGCACGTACATCCTCAGGCACCTGCTTATCACGGAGGCCAGGGGCCGCCACGTGGGCCTCCTGTCCAACAACCTCAACCACCAGCGATAGTGCCAGCCGACCTCGCCAGCATGATGAGTGGTATTGATAATGCGACCTTGCAACGGTTGCTGGTTAGTTTGAACCCACAGGGTGGACCGGCGGCTGTCAACAACGCTGCCGGAGCTGCAAACGCCCAGCTGCAAGCCCTTATGGGTGGTCTTCGGCAAGCGCCGCCTGCGGCACCAACGCAGCCTGCCTCGTATGGCGGACAGGCCTTTGCTCCGAATGGCGCCCCACCCCCGAATGGCCCGAACGGCCACCCTCCTGCAACTGGCACCGGTGATTCCGCAGTGCAGGTTCAGAATATCATGGCACAGCTTGCCAGATATCGGCAGTAAGGTGTGCGATATGGGAGCTCATTTCACTGGCGCTTGATGAAGATATGATGTGGAAGGGGCTTGCTTATTTGTTACCCGGCGTTAGGGGCATGCAGTCCCATGAGGAGGCTGCTCAAAAGGGTGGGAAAACTGTGCTTTTCTTATAGATTTGCAGAAGCCATGCCCAACAGGGCGGGTTGCTGTAACCCAGGCGTTCACTATTACATAAATACAGTAGTTCAAAATAGGTTTGTTTCTTCAAAGTTGAAACAACAGTTTTAAAGTCCAAAATGCGAGGAATCTACAGCTTCTGAGAGGGCTTGTTCAGGAAAGCCGTGCACTCAATCTCGACATCGGTGCCCAGTGGTAGCTGGTATACTGCAACACACGTGCGGGCCTTTTCATTTATAGTATCAGCACGCATTCTCTCATTTCCTTGACCGTCACGACCTGCCAGGAACGACGAGCAAAGTCAGTTCTAGACATGAATGAGAGAGAAACTCACAGGCTTGGGATCAAACGTGAAGAACTCGTCATACGCCTCGTTCATGGTGGCGAAATCGGACATCTGCGTAATGTAGACGTTGACCTTGACGACGTTGCGGAGGGAGCTGCCGGACGCCTCGAGGACGGCGGTCAGGTTCTTGAGGGCCTGGCGGGTGCGGTCTTTGACCGTGCCCTCGGCCTGGACCATGCCTGGCTTGTCGGGGAGGATGCCGATGTTGCCGGAGCAGTAGACCATGCCGTTGTATTTTACGGCTTGGGAGAATTGGGGGAGGGGCGCTGGGGCGGCGGTTGTGAGGACTTTTTCGATTTGGTCGGACATTTTGGTGGTGTTGGTTGTGGTGGTGATGTATAAGGTGGATGGTGATTTGGGAGGGCGATATTGAGGGAGGAAGATGGAAATCTGGAGTTATTGAAGTTTCAGTGATTTGAAGATGGGGGTGATTAAAATGTCAACGGAGCCGTGAGCTGAATCAATCGATATAAGATGGATATAGGTGAGGTGGTGAAGATGATTAATCCAATCGTCAAACGGTAGGAGATTACACCGGCGCGGGGTCGGAGGTGGGAAGTGGATCCTTCGTCACCGGCGGGTTGGTGGGGTTTTGATAGCGGGCATGTACAGATAGGGCGCGCAGAAAACGGAAGGGCGCGGATGATGGATCTCTTTTGTGCTTTTGCATGCATGGAGTACTCAGTGGATGAGGCTCTTTTTGACTTTTAGGGAGCTTTTGCCGAGAGGCTAATGAACGTTACTTGGGCCCTTGAGTATCTGAACTGGAATAAGTTGATTGCATCATGCGTGGGATTTGGATTGGGTCTGGGGAAAGTTGGTTTCGCCTTGTCGCCTTGTATTCGTTGGCGAGTCCGGCGTTTGCATTTCATGATTGAGATCTGTACTTGGTTCGTGTGATGTTTTTGTCCTGCAGCTATAGATGATTCCATGAACACTTGCTGATTACAAAGTCTCAGGATGCGAGTGTATCCTAAGCTCGAGTCTGCCGATAGAAAGCGCCTGGCCCACTTTGGCGGGGTTGACGGAGGACTTCGCCGCGGGACGGTGATGGCGGGGTAATTTTGGCCGGCCGAAGCCGGCGCAATCCTCCGGGGAGGGTGAGACGTCGGTCTTGCGACGTCTTTTAAGCACTCAGATGAGAGGCGCGAATGGCTCGCAGAGACGTAGAAAAGCTACTCAAATTGGAATTTGTATCCTAACGCCTTGTGTGATAATGATAATCAAGTAAACACTGCGTGCCCAACCCAAAGATACAAGAAACACCACCATCAGAGCCTGAAGGAAATCCGAAGTTGCGCTGGACGGCATACAAACATGTTATTTCTCATGAAGCAATGCCTTTTCTCTCCATTGCTTCCCTTATAAGTTTCATAGTATTACTATCAACCCGCCGAGCAGCCATGTTCAGTAAACTTTCACCTTCTGGGCCTGGTGCTGTGACATCAGCACCTCCATCGAGAAGGCTATTGACTACGCCTGAGAATGTAATGTCGTAAAATGAACATGCCTCAGATAGTGGTGTACGACCTTTGTTGTCCCTCGCGTTGGGGTTGGCCCCATTTTGCAGCAGAAATCCGACGAATGGATCATTCCCTTTCTTAGCAGCATTCATAAGAGGGGTCCGTCCCTCGTAGTCTCGTCCGTCAATTTCGAGACCGTTCTCAACGGCCTTCTCCACATCTTCAAGATATACAGGGCTCGCATCGTATAGCTTACATGCCTCATGGAGGAAGTTCTGGCCCATATTATCTTGATGAGTTGGATCCAGACCTGCATACAACAGGTCCCGTAGAACTTGGTTGTACGTGAAGGGTCGGGCTAAGAAGAGAGCGGTCTGTCCGGACTTGTTCACAATTTTCCTAAAATCCGAAGTTCCACTATCGGATTCTTGTTGCGACTTTCCACGAGAGAGTATGATTCTGCCGCTATCTCTTCGGTGCTCAAAAATGCTGTGTGACGATAGCAGACTCACACTGCTACTTATATTTCGTAATGCAGCGATAAACAGGGGAGTATCCCCGTTGACGTCTTGCGCATGGGGAAACGCACCTGCTTCGAGAAGAAGCTCTACCAATTCAAAGCGACTCTGATATTGGCAAGCGATGTGGAGAGGCGTTTGACCAGATGCATCTTGCACTTCCAAGTCACATCCTCTCAGAATTAATAATCGAGTGATTGCTTCGTGTTCGCGTGTGATTGCCCAATGAATCGGCTTCATTCCATCTACTAAAGCTCCTCTATTGATGTCTGCTCCACACTCAAGGAGAAATTCGATAGAGCGACTTTGAGTTCTTCGGACTGCCGCTATCAGAGGCGTGTAGTCAGGCTCATACCCGGCATCGATGCTGATGCCCGTCTCAAGCAGAATTTGCGCAGTGCCCGTATTTCCGGTTTCAGCCGCCCCGATGAGGGCTTTTTTGACGTCTTCATAGTTGTCTACAGATAATGATGGTTGTGAAATCGTGTTGGTAGCGAACCTAGATTGCCTTTGGAGAATGAGCCGTAACAACGCTTCCTGACCCTTTTCGGCAGCGCGAATTAGAGGGCTATAGGAAAAGTTCGCCGACATAGGGTAAGGATGCGCACCCAAGTCGAATAGCATTTCGGCGATATCGACTTGCCCTCTTTCTGCAGCAAAGTAGAGGGGCGTACGTCCTTCTTTGTCCGTGCAGTCAATGCTAGGGTGCACTTGGCTGCTCGTCTCGGATCCCGGGTTACTGTATGATGTAGACGCAATTTCTCTTGCAGAGCTTGCAATCCATTGCAGCAAGAATCTTGCGGCGTCGTCGTGGCCTTCTTTCAGAGCCGCAAGGACTGGGTAGCCATGGCGGCCTCCACGTGCTTCAGCATCCGGGTCATGGTGGAGCGCTGTCTCAACCAGTCTCGTCAAACCCCTTTCCGCAACGATATATAAGAGGTTCGTAGCACCATACTTCTGCCTTCTGGTTTTATGCTTTTCGAAAATATTGCTTCTTTGGATCCATTGTTTCAAGGGAAAGTGTTGGAGAAACCCGGTCTGTGTGACGGTCTGGGCAGCGGCATTGGCGTGGTAGAGTACTTGGCTGGTTGCATACTTTAGGAAGGGGAAGCCACGGTCGATTGCGGCTTGGAAATCGATAGATTCCTTTTTGGATGTACGAAATAAAAATTTGTCATCGTGCAAGTGTTTAGAAATGTTGACTTGAGTCGAGTATTCATGGCAGCAGTCCCGTAATCGATTGTGGCTTTGGGCCTCGAAATCAGTGCCCATCTCTGGCCAGAGAGTACGCAGCCCATTGTCTTTGATAAGAAAGTCACGTACGGATTCGTGAATGAATTGGACAGTCTTATCATCGGACCTCGTTGTTTCAGCCAGTCCCTTAGACGAGCTGACAATCAGACGATCCATGAATTCAAACGGGATCTCATTGGGATCCCACTCTCCCAGCGTGTCGGGCTCCAAGCCGGAGGCCAAGGCGAAATAGTATTCTTCGCGTTTTAGAGGTCGTGTACCGTAGAGAATCCATTGAATACATAGAAGCAAATCGTCGAGATTCTCTTTGTCTCTGGTTAACATGTTTTGGAAGAGCTCACTTAATTTGGATGGGATCTCCTCTAAGCGGCTCTTGATTTTAAACACGCGACCCCGTTCATACTCTCTGTTCAGTATGTCGATAACGAGAACGATCCACATAAAGACACCAGAGGCTTTCCGAAGGATCTCGGCTATGACTTCCTCGCTCCTGGATCCGCTACCAGCCTTAAGACTCGTGTGAACATACTCTGCGAGGTCCTTCTCATGACCAGTTTGGTCTTCTAGGATGAGCTTTTGGCCGTATTGGATATCGATGTATGGGTAATGTCGACTAGAAAGGCAAACATAGAATCGGATGTCGCGCTGAACCGCATATTGTCCTAGGTCTTCAAAGACCTTGACCATGTCTCGAACTTCCTCCTCGGCGCACTCGTCGAGGGCGTCAATGAAACAAGTAAGTTGCCGTTGTCCGAGTTTCCGGACGGCGCTGCGGAAGAGAGTCTTGGTCTTTTCCAAATCCCACTGTGCGATTTCTTGGGGTCCGTCGTTCGTGTCGAGCAAAACCTGTAGATCGGGCATTTTCTCCAAAAGCTGATGTGAGAGTGACCGATACATTCCCAGCGTCGACTTCTCGAGCCCTTCGCCTCTGGCGTTAAAAAAGAATGAAATGGAAGGTCCGATCGATGCGGCTCTTCTCCTCGCTCGGGTGAAGGCGAACTTCATGATCGTTGACTTTCCTGCCCCCGGTTTCCCCCTGATCCAGAGAAAGCCGTGATGCTGAGAGTACATCTTACGGTCTATCCAGGTGGTATAGTCAGGATGTTCGAGAAGCCACTCGCAGGTTTTGGCATGATTGTCCTTGATATTGGCGTGCCGCTTATCAATCTGATCAAACTTGAGTGAGTCTAGAAGCTTCTTGCGATCTGGGGATGGCGTTGCTGTGGTACAAACGTCAGCAGAAATTCGCGAGGGCGACGGCATCACCGACTTACATGTTTTCTGCCTTTCTAGTTGCGTCTCAAGAGTCAAGTTTTCTTGGGGTGGCATCATGAGCAGAAGCTCCTTTGCGTAAGCTGCCGCAGTGGCTGCCGCATATCTCTGCCATCGCTTTGCTTTGTGAGAATCCGAGTAGTCACAGACGCCACGAATGACGAGGCATGGGAAATTGTCCATCATGCCTGCGGCTTCCATCTCGAAGCATATCAACCCGAGATCTTTCGCTAGACGGTCTCTTGTTCTCCCATGTTTCATGACCTGATTACCAGATGCAATGATCCCGTAATGAATGGTGGGGTTATTTGTCGGCCTAGGAATGCGTGGCACCAGCTTGGACCTATCGCAGTTGTCGCAACAAGCGCTTTCCCCGGGGTGTTCGTATGATGCTTCGAAGAGCCGGTCTTCATCGACGCCTTGACGTGAATATTCAACCATGTCGGGGTAGCGTATTCTCATATGGGCTAGAATTGCCGGGATCTGACTCGGTCTGATTTCGTGGTTAGCTCGTAACCTGGAGACAGCCGCGAGAACCAGTTGGGGAGGTTTGTTCAGGCTTCCGATTCGCTCGAACCGACCATCGTTGACAGCTTTTCCAAAGTCATACTGTATGACACCCGGGGAGTCTGCTGTCGGGTTGCTAATCACAACATCACCAAGCCGTATGTCGACCTTTCCGGGAACACCGCCGCCAATTCCGACCATCAAGCCAATATGTATGGAGGGAAAGCTCCATCGCATGTTATTTGCTACTATTGCAGCGTTATTTGTACCGTACTGCCCCGATGGCAAGCATGCAATAACGATATTATGCTGACCAATACCGCCGAATGTGTACACATTGTTGTCGTTTGGATTCATTTCAAGTGGTTGATGCACGATGTCAAGCATAGCTTCAGCTGCAGCACTCTCGAGAGGAAGAGCACAAACCCAGCCCACGGTATACGCGCTGGTGGGCATACGAGGCCTTGAGTTGATTGTTCTTGCCCGCTTTGCAGGCCCGTATGCATCTTCATCTTCTCCGCTACTGACGCTCCGTTCCCGTTTCTCTGTGGCATATCTAGGAGCGCTCGTAGGCTGCCAACCGGTATTTCTTTGTTGATAATGAGCGTGATGGCTGAACATTTCGATCAGGCTCCGGGATTCGAGGGGTTTCGGCCGATGTCGTCTCCCTAATTTGCGATTGTCAGTTTCCATGAGAACGGGTGTGTAGTAAATAAGCTTGTACTTACCCGGTATGATGAATGCGATGTGACCGAAATCGCAGTGAGGGTAGTTGCAAATTAAGTTCAAGCTACCTAGGCCAGAGAAATTGAAGAAGATGAAGGCTTTGCGGAAGGCAACTTGGGGCAGACAGGTCTTGCCTGCCACTCCAGAATACCTATCTGAGCCGAGGGTGTCAATCAGGCTGCGTCAACACAGCCCCTGTTGCCGCAGCAGTTTTCACCTCCTCGCAGCGTCCAGTAGCATTTCGATCACAAGGTCCCTGCTGCATGGCCAAAAATTGGCCAATCGGACAAACGACTGTGGTGGAAAATGCACAATATTGGAAGATGCTAACAGAATTCGATAACCCGTCACATTCAACCTCTGCAGCACCAGGTATGAGTCTGCCTGACCACGAGTGCGGCACAGCGTGCTATGCCATTATCTCCATGACTTTGCCTGCGCCTGATGCCGCAACCCCGCATCAGCTTTACCATCCCCAAACTCGATATCGTTGCATACAAATGCTCTCTGGGAATCTGCCCGTCGAAGTAAGTCGAAACTACCTGAGGGGCTCATAGAATGTCGGCAATACCACAGCAGAGCCGTTACGAGGGTTATTGGAATTGCTACAACCCAGTAGACCCAGAACTTTCCAGAGACGTTCCACGAGTCTGAGGCCGAGTCGTAGTCAAAAAATGAAGTGCTGAAGACGGCTGAAACGAAAGTCGCCGGCAGGAAAAGTAGAGTGAGAAAAGCCACGGTTTTCATGGCCTCGCTGTCCCTCTGCGTCGCGCGACCGATGGCTACAGAAATCCGGGCGTCGGACTGAGCAACCATGTTGTATGCGAGCGAGATCTCGTTGAAGTGTCGAGCCTTATTGGAAGCCGAGCGCTCTTGAAGGCTCGTGATCATCTCTTCGAAGAACTGCAACCGCTGATGCGTGTAATTCCAAGCCCGTTTCCATGCGGTGGCAGACCCGGAATCATCATCATGGCCAACTTTGAATGCCTCGTGTTGCACTAGAATTTTCCTAGCAGCCTTGACGGCCAAATCCAATGTTTCGGAAACGTGTATAGCATGTCGTGCCGTTTCGTGTAAATGACGAAAGCCCGGTGCAGGTTTTGACGTGGCCAAGTCGGAGCCGTGGGTTATATCCCTTTGCTTCTCTGTGGTCCTGACTGTGACACGAACAGCCCATACAGCGGCATCTTGCAAAGTGACGACCTTCTCTAAGATTCCGATGTATATCCAGTAGGGGTCGAGGAAGTAGTCCGCGTTTGGAACGGCGTAAATGGGGTCGGATTCATCTTCCGGGACCCTCTCCATACAATTCGCCGCTGGTTGGACGGCGTCGAAGACGATGAGGACTGTTTGACGAGTCTTCGCCACCCAGTGCGTAATCACATTGGTTTTTGACCATTCATATCCTGTATGTCCTTCGTTCGTGAGCTTCACTGGGAATCGCGCCCATGTAGCTATTCTCCCGTCAGTCAGCGTTCTTGGTCCCAATCATCATAACTCACTCAGTCCTGCAGTATTTCCGTCCTCATCAATCTTTGTCTCGCATCCAAAGTAGCCGTTGGAATCTCTGCAGTATCGTTTCCACCAGAGATCTGGGATCATGAAGGCTTTCACAAACTTCTCACGGCATGCTGAACATTTGCGTATTTTCTGCGCAAAAGCATTCCTATCCACTTGTCAGCATTGAGCCGTCACCCAAGCTCTACTAAGCTTACACGATGCAGACATCGAAATCTTCCTCATCTGCTAGAAAGGATGCTGATCCCTTCTCAATGGTCGTTGTAGTTGATCTCCAGTTTTGATCGCCTAATCCTGTCAGTATGGCCAGCAGCATAAGAGGAAGCATTTCAACCTCACCTTTCTTCCAGTACAACACTTCTAGTTGTTGGCAAGCGCACGTGGGGTCCATTTTGACTCATGACATTGTAATTGGTGAAACTTATGTTACAAAACGGAGTGGGAAGTGTGGACCCTCTTATAAGACTAGATTAAAGGACTCAGCTGTGAATATTCAAGAATCGTTGTGTTGTACAGCAGGCTCTGAACGGGAGCCGCAAACCCCGCTCTAAGCGCCGATGCAGGCTGCATGACAGGGCCTCTCGATACCCTGAGTTAACCAACCAGTCATTTGAGGCAGATCTGCTGCTGGAGGTAGGCGTGGTCTCGATGACTGTCCCAATCAAAGAGGACTTCCCAACATATGAGCTTTGCGAGCTGTGTAATGTGACACCGAAATTCATGGCTCAGCCACCAGCTTTGCCGTCGCTAAGTGGAATGACTGGAGGAAGCCTGGAGCTAAACATTGCGGCCCGAATGCTGCGGTTCTTTGGCCCGTCCGTTGTGGATGTAACAGCTTCATAAGGTGGCATGCAGAAGAGAGCAGTCGGCAACAATTGCAATGCCTTCTTTATGGATCGAAGTGCAAGAGCGACGATGCTGGAGCCAGTGGAATGGAAGGGTCTTTCGGCAGGGTCCTTCCCGCCCGCCCACGAACAGCTGGGATGTTCGCTGAAATGTTACCGACGCCTGCTTGGCAATGGGGAGCACTTGCTTCCACCAGAAACGGGAACATTTGGGGGAAAGCTCAGGGGTCACCTCCTTAGCTTCTTCCTTCTGACCAATCATGATGTGGCTTACCAAGCAAATCATCGCAGCTGGTCGATACACCTATTGGAAAACGAGCCTAAGCCAACCTAAAACCGCCTCGACTGCGAGGTGAGACTTTGGACGAAGATGCCAGCTGTAAGGTGTTCGTTTTGCCGTGTGTAGTCGGTTGCTCAGGCACGCTTCTCGATATATGACAAGTGACGGGAACCTTCACCGATTCCTGCTGCAACTCCATTTCGTCTTCATTTGTGTAATTACCCGCTCGGTCCGAGCTTGCGGATTATCACAACCTTTTTCTTCCTGTCTTGCCTTTTGTATTTCTCATGTGGCACTGAGCTCCATTGTGCTTCCTTCTTGTCCAACTCTGCCTCACCATTACCCGCGTCACCCGTGAAAGGTTGATCATCATGAGTTGGCCCTACCGCTTCGTCGACCTGTCCAAGGAAGAGGTCCAGATCCGGAGACAGACCCTGGATCGTTATGGCAGCTATGCTCAGTACTCGGCACTGACGCCAATCATCATTGCTTTGCTATTCCGGCTCGGGGCGTATCTCAGTCAACGCTGGCAGTCGGGAGCTTCCTACTCTGCTGTCCCGGGCTCTCCTGAGCTGAAGACAAAGAGACAGAGCTGGAGCCACAGCTGGGATGCCACAATCAAGAAGTGGAAGTGGTGGCTGGCCGACGATGTCTACTTCATGGGGCAGCATTGGGGCCAAAAGGACCAATGGGTTTTTGGTTTGGCCTGGGCGTCATGGCTGCTGGTTCTGAGCGTGTTGGAGACGGGCGATGGTGAGTTGTGAATCCCCTCAATTGGATGTCAAACGTGATGAAACTCCAACCCCGACCCTGGAACCAACCCCTAAGAGACTCAAGTGAGCCTCGAGAAATTTATGACTTCATGCTCAAAAAACTGCCATTCAGATTGACCAAAATCACGACATGTTTCTGACTAGCTGTAGATTACCTCCATCTCACCAAACGCTTTGGCATCATCGCAGTCTCCCAGATCCCCTTTCAGTACCTGCTGGCATTGAAGAGCTTCAGCCCCATCGCCAAGGCTTTCCGCACATCTCACGAGGAGCTGAACAAATGGCACCGCGTTCTCTCCCGTGTGACGCTATCCCTTCTTGTCCTTCACGCCGTATTCTACCTGAACTTCTTCGTGGCCAAAGGCATCGTTCAGAAGCGCCTCTTTGCACCCGTTGTCTTCGCCGGTGTCGTTGCGTTTGCAACCATGAACATGATGACTTCAACAGCGGCTGCCACCGTTCGAAGGTACTCGTACCGCGTCTTCTTTATCACCCATCTTATCGGCGCCTTTGCAATTCCGGTCCTGGTCTTCTTCCACGCCAAGTCGGCTCGCCTGTTTATGGTCAAGGCTATCATCGTCTTCCTCATCGACCTTACCGTCCGTCGTCTCCGGACTGTAATGGCTCTCTCAAAGGTTGAGACCATCCCTGGCACGAATCTAATCAAAATATCCGCCTCAATCCCTCAGTACAAGATCAATGCTTTCCATACTCGCCCAGGTTCCCACATCTACCTCAGCGTACCCGCCGCGGCACGACCTGGAGCTGGCCCAACATCCCCTGATGCAATGCTCTTTGAATTTCTCTTCAACCCCTTCACCGTTGCATCCGTCGACGAGGATAACGGCAGCCTCACTCTGGTAGCTCGGCAACTTGATGGCCCGCTCACACGACATCTCGGCCGCTTCGCAAACGCGGGCACCGGCATCGAAGACGGCAAAGTCCCGCTCTGCATCGAGGGCCCGTACGGTGCCGCATCCCTCCACTTTGACAAACTCACCGGCTCCTCAGTCGACCGCTTCCTGTTGGTTGCCGGCGGCGTGGGCGCAACCTTTACCG